ACACACACACACACACACACACACACACACACACACACACTGGGAGCTGAGCAACGAAACCAAAAGTGCAGCTTCACAGACGAACTGCAAAAAAAATGTCCGACATGTGGGACAAAAAGGATCTAAACATTATATATAGATACTTAGTCTAAATCCTTTTTGTTTGTTGAGTTTGTATCGTAGACTGTTTCCTTTCTTCCATTCAGAGGTGTTTAGTTGAAGCTGTATTTTCTAATCAGAATCAGAAATACTTCAATGATCCCAGAGGGAAATTATTTTTTGTTACCAACCCCGGACATACAACAGCATGTACATTTATATACATATATATATATAAATAAATAAATACATATAAACATATGTAACTATATGTATGTATATATATATAGATCTAAAATAAGTGATAATGATAATGCAAATAATTTAGTAAGAATTTACAGAAGGGGGGTGTCTGACTCTCTAAGTCTGTAGAAATTGATTACCACAGGCAGAAGGGATCATATTTAGAACATTATTTGATTTTATTTATGTATTTTAAGCAGGGCTATCATTTTGTTACTGGTTGTTACAGATAGTTTTTTACTACCAAAGTCATTTTTGTGCCGTTGAGGTCTAATAAAGCCTGTTTATGAACATCTGAGAAGCCCAATCTGGAGGCAGAATACCTCCTTTTTGGGAACCAGAAAATGGCCGCCCTCCATTAAACATTTAGCATCACCCACCTTGAGCTTCTCGTACTGGATTAAGCTGAGAGCCAGACAGGACCGGTGGGCGGGGGGAAGCAGGGGCTGGATCACGCTCAGCACGTTGCTGAGAAACTTCTCCCCCTGCTTTCCAAGCCCCGCCCACTTCCTGCCTCCCTGGAGGGTGGTCATGTGACCAACAGAGTTGGACCCGGGCTCGGGCAGGTAGGAGGAGGTCAGAGGGTGCTGGGACTCAAAATCTGGGACGCAGAATGGAATGGAAACACATTATACTTCGTATATTTTCCAGCTTCTGACACAAATGTCTAAAAATAGACTTTACAACCAGCACTGTTCTATGCATACCAAATGTAAAAAACAGCACAATATGGAGCATCTTTTTTACCTTTTTTAAAACAAAAACTATACAGCAAAACCTCTATTAAGATGCCTAAACATACGAATTTTCCAACGTCTGAAGTGAAATTTGATCAAATATTCGACTCCACAACCAAAGTAAATTCCCTAAATATGACGTTGAAGTCATACAAAAATATATATACTGTAAAATATAAAAATGTCTAACTTCTGATGCCTAAACATACAAATTTTCCAACATCCGAAGTGAAATGTGATCAAATATATTTACAATGTTGAAGTCATAGAAGAAAATTAAAACTAAATAGTCTAAGTTGGTGTAAAGTTCCTGTCTAAAGTCAGAGTGAGTTAGGGCTGGTCCTGTATCTCAGTCTCCACCTCTACCTCCGTTCTTCAGTCTCTGAGCTAAAGGGCCAATAAAAACCCCTTTTTATTGATTATTTCTTTATCATTTATTTCTTTTTCCATATCTCTTCTAGAAGTCATTTGTGTTCTTGCTATGTGTAATTATCTGCAGTATTTATTAAGGAGTTATCGTAGGTTTTTG